TGGAGTTTCACTCTTGTTGTCCAGGCTGGAGTGCAGTGGCGCGATCTTGTCTCACTGTAACCTCTGCCTCCTGGGTTAAAGCAATTCTCCTGCCTCAGCCTCCCAAGTAGTTGGGATTACAGGCACCCACCACCACGCCCGGCTAAATTTTTGTATTTTTAGTAGAAACAGAGTTTCACCATGTGGGACAGGCTGGTCTCAAACTCCTGATGTTAGGTGATCCACCCGCCTGCGCTTCCCAAACTGTTGGGATTACAGGCGTGAGCCACCGCGCCCAGCCCCATCTCTCTGCCTCAGGAGCTTTGTGCTGTGGTGTGTGGTTCTTCCCCAAGCTGTTCCTTACCGTCAACTGGGAAACTTAATTAAAGAGCCCAACCTTGGAAATCCTGACTTACTAGACTAAGGTGGAGTCTGGACAATTTATTTGGTAACACATTTTCTTGGGTAATTCTGATGAGTATCCAATGACAAGATCCACTGCAGTAGCCAAGCTGAATCACTGGCTGTTCCAGTGCTACACCAGCTTCTCTCACCCTCTGGTAATTCTTTGTACATGCTACTTTTACATTATCTACATTTCTTCTTCTTTTTTTTTTTTTTTTTTTTTTTTTTTTTTTTTTTTTTTTTTTGAGATGGAGTCTCGCTCTGTCGCCCGGGCGGGAGTGCAGTGGCCGGATCTCAGCTCACTGCAAGCTCCGCCTCCCGGGTTCACGCCATTCTCCTGCCTCAGCCTCCTGAGTAGCTGGGACTACAGGCGCCCGCCACTTCGCCCGGCTATTTTTTTGTATTTTTTAGTAGAGACGGGGTTTCACCGTGTTAGCCAGGATGGTCTTGATCTCCTGACCTCGTGATCCGCCCGTCTCGGCCTCCCAAAGTGCTGGGATTACAGGCTTGAGCCACTGCGCCCGGCCTTTTTTTTTTTTTTTCTAAGAGGGAGTGTCGTTTTATCGCCCAGGCTGGAGTACAGTAGCTTGATCTTGACTCACTGCAACCTCCACCTCTTGGGTTCAAGTAATTCTCCTGCCTCAGCCTCCCGACTAGCTGGGACTACAGGCATACGCCACCATGCTCAGCTAATTTTTTTGTATTTTTAGTAGAGATTGGGTTTCACTATGTTGGTCAGGCTGGTCTCGAACTCCTGAACTCAAATGATCCGCCCACCCCAGCCTCCCAAAGTACTAGCCACAGTATGCAGTCCACATTTTCTACATTTCTTAGTCCACTTGGTGAACTCTTCCTCCTTCCGGCCTCATATGTATATTTTCTGCCTCTTCCAGGGTTAGAGCTCTGCTCTCTAGGAGCATCTTGGACATGCGGCAAGATCTGCAGTCATGATTTGTTTCCATGACCTACTCATTTAGACTTTGAGCACCTTTAGGAAGGCAGAATTGTCTTTGGGCCCCAGTGATACTTGTTGAAATTGTTAGTTCGGTAGATGAGTACATTCAAAGGGGAAGAGGCAGATGGATCACCTGAGGTCAGGAATTTGAGAGCATCCTGGCCAACATGGTGAAATTCTGTCTCTACTAAAAACACAACAAGATTAGCCGGGTGTGGTGGCACATGCCTGTAGTCTCGGCTACTTGGGAGGCTGAAGCAGGAGAATGGCTTGAACCTGGGAGATGGAGGTTGCAGTGAGCTGAGATCATGCTACTGCACTCCAGCCTGGATGACAGAGCGAGATTTCCTCAAAAAAAAAAAAAAAAAAAAAAAAAAGGGAAGGAAGAGGTAGCGTCTTTGACCTTTGAGCTTTTCGGGCCCTGGGCCTGGGTCTGACTTGCTGTAATGGGTTGTATGTGCTCTAGTTGCAGGAGATCACATTTAAGAATTACTACACAGCTTTTTTGAGCATCCGTGTCCGTCAGCACACCTCTGCACACACACCTGCCAAGTGGGTGACCTGCCTGCGGGACTACTGTCTAATGCCCGACCCACACAGTGAGGAGGGAGCCCAGGAGTATATATCGCTGTTCAAGCATCAGGTCAGCTGGGCCTCAGGATGGCCAGGGAAGCCCAGATGAGGACTTACCAGAAGTGGGGAGATTGGGTCAATATACCAAGAGGGAAGAGGCAGCCAGTCTGGCCTGGACTGTGGCTTTCAGGGAAGTGCCTTGGAGGGACTATTATTCCTTCCTTCCCAAAGGGCTGCGGGGTGGGCAGCATTCTGGCTCATTGCTGGTTGGGAGGATTCTGGGCAGTGAGCTGGGTCCTCGCTGGGTCTTTATGTGTGTGTGTCAGATGCTGTGTGACATGGCCAGAGTATTGGAGCTACGCCTGATTCTGCGGCAGCCATCACCACTGTGGCTGTCTTTCACAGTGGAGGAGCTGCAGATCTATCAGCAGGGACCAAAGGTAAGTGACTAGCTGAGCTGCTGGCTGGCCCTTTCCCCAGAAAGCTCCTATGACTGGGAAAGCTGGGTGGTGGGGTGGGTAATGGGTAAAGATTGTGAATGGGGCCTTCATGGAGGTTAGCTGGGTGTGAATGCTGGAAGCTTACAATGAGAGATGAGGCCATGTCCCCATATCCCCTGACCTTTGGGACCACCTGCTTCTTTCAGAGCTGGAGCCTTTAGGTTCTGGGAGACACTTTTGAGCATGTGTTTCTGAGGACTCTGTCTGCACAGCAGGAGAACTTAGGTAGTCTGACTGCCCCTTTAGGTCTCTGTGGGCTCCCTAAACAGGGTTTTCCCAGTGTCTGAGGCTCAGGGGCCTTTCTCTCTGCTCCTAGGACCTTGGAATCTGGTCCCAGAGCTGTCCACTTTGTCTCACTCAGGGCAGTACATCTTTACTTTGCAGAGCCCCTCTATGACCTTCCCCAAGTGGCTCTCCCACCCAGTGCCCTGTGAGCAACCTGCACTCCTCTGTGAGGTAAGCCCTCACCCTAGGTAAGAACCATGTATGAATGGCTCTAGTGTCCAGCACAGGCCAGGTGGACCCCTTTCTGTAAAATCCTGGGGCTAGGCCCGAGGCCCTTGGGTGTTATCTTCCTCTTGGGTATTCTTTGGGATTTGAGGCATCTCTGTTGTGGGGCTACATCAGGCCCTAACCTCATGTTTCATGAGCCATCTGAGAATGTTGTTGGTCTCAGCTGGAGGGCCCCTAGCCCAGGTTGGCCTCTCTAGAGCCCTAAGGGCACTGCTGGGGAGAGACCCATGGCCACTGACCCCTCCTTCTGGAGCAGGGTCTCCCAGACCCCAGCAGGGTATCCTCCGAGGTGCAGCAGATGTGGGCACTGACAGAGATGATCCGGGCCAGTCACACCTCCGCGAGGATCGGCCGTTTTGATGTAAGTAATCGCTTCCCTCTGCTTGGCTTGCTTTGCCCTGAGCAGATCAGACCTCATGGTCTTTTGTATTTCAGGTGGATGGCTGTTATGACCTGAACTTGCTCTCCTACACTTGAATGGTGGCTCCTACCCAAGATGTTGGCCTTTCCGTGCCCACCCAGACTTGGTTTGGGCCACCAGAGGCTGAAGTGTGTTTCCTTTGTATTCCGAATGTTGCCTGCATGCCTATTCTGTCTGGGCCACGTTCACAGATTCAAGATTCTCGGGGGCTCACTGTGTTACTTCAGCATGAGCTCCTGGCACGGGGGGTGCTCTGTGTTCGCCTGGCTGCAACTCAATTCTTCCTTCTACCCAAAAACACTCCAGTCAGTTGTACTTACTGAGAATCCCTGAGTGCCCTCTGCCCATCCTGCCAACATGCACATTCCTGTCTTCTGCCTGCTCCCTCACCTCAGTGCAGTTGGGCTGGGCTGACCTACTAGAACCTGCTCCATGTACGAACCTGGAAGGCCATTGCTGCCATGGCACTTGGGACGCTTGAGGAAGAAACAGAAACCTATTTCTTCCTGTGAGTCCCCTAGTGGTTTTCTTTCCATTTGTATTATGCCACAGAAATAAATTTCTTGTCTAAACGCTTCTGCTACCTGCCTAGGAAGGAAACTTGAAGATTTGAGCAGCCTGAGTCTCTCAGTTTCTGAGCTGGCTCCTGAATATGTGTTCAAGTGGGTGTGCCTATAGGACCTGGGCAGGTGTCTCTAGCAAAGCCAGGGCCTGAGAATAAGAACTGGAACCCTTCTAGCCCGGGTGCAGTGGCTCACACCTGTAATCCCAGCACTTTGGGAAGCTGAGGCAGGTGGATCACCTGAGGTCGGGAGTTCGAGACCAGCCTGAACCACATGGAGAAACCCCGTCTCTACTAAAAATACAAAAAATTAGCTGGATGTGGTGGTGGGTGCCTGTAATCCCAGCTACTTGGGAGGCTGAGGCAGGAGAATCTCTTTAATCTGGGAAGTGAAGGTTGTGGGGCTGAGATCATGCCATTCCACTCCAGCCTGGGCAACAGGAGTGAAAGTCCATCTTAAAAAAAAAAAAAAAAAGAACTGGGACCCTTCTGCCATCTGACATAGTCCAAAGCACATCCCTATCCTTTCTCCCAGTTGTCCCACTCCTTTTTTTTTTTTTTTTTTTGAGATGGAGTTCTGCTCTTGTTGCCCAGGCTGGAGTGCAATGGTGCAATCTCGGCTCACTGCAACCTCCACTTCCCAGGTTCAAGCGATTCTTCTGCCTCAGCCTCCCGAGTAGCTGGGATTACAGGCATGTGCCACCACGCCTGGCCTGACCCTTTCCAAGAGAGATGCTCAGCATGATGAGAGATCAGCCATGGTAGGGAGTGGGTCCAAGTAAGGGTTTGCATTGTTGCCTTTTAAGAGGCCTAGGTCCGGCCGGGCGCGGTGGCTCAAGCCTGTAATCCCAGCACTTTGGGAGGCCGAGGCGGGCGGATCACAAGGTCAGGAGATCGAGACCATCCTGGCTAACACCGTGAAACCCCGTCTCTACTAAAAAATACGAAAAACCAGCCGGGCGAGGTGGCGGCGCCTGTAGTCCCGGCTACTCGGGAGGCTGAGGCAGGAGAATAGCGTGAACCCGGGGGGCGGAGCTTGCAGTGAGCCGAGATAGCGCCACTGCACTCCAGCCTGGGGCACAGAGCAAGACTCCGTCTCAAAAAAAAAAAAAAAAAAAAAGAGAGGCCTAGGTCCTCCATTAACTCAGGCCAATCATTAAGTGATGCAGGCTGCTCTTCCTTCATGTGAGAAAAACCTGTTTCCCTCTGGTTCTTCCTGGCTTTGCACCTGGTGGCTATTATGAAGCAGTACTGCAGTATGTCTTGGACCTGGAAAGTTGGACATGTGTGCGGCTCAACAGTTTTCTGGGAAGAGTTCAGTGACCTTTTGGTGGCCACCCTCTGCTCTCACCTATGAGTTCTTGCAGGTGGCGACTTTACCTGCAAGGTCACTTACATAGCCCCACTCAGCTGCTTTGGAAAGCATGATGGAGCAGTAGTCCTCAATGTGTGTGTGAGTGAAGAGGACCTTGTGGTAGCAGGGACCATGCTTCATTTGTGGCTGTGTCCCCATCCGAGGGCCTGGTATGCAGTAAGATCAATACATACTTGTGGAATGCATGACTCTGCTGGCTGCCTGTGTCTGCCTGGTGGGAGAGCTGTGGACCTAGAGGTCCACATGAGGCCAGACTACTGTGGTGCTGCCTGCCTGCCAGCCTGGCTCCACCCTGCTGTGACCTCTCCACCTTCCCCACCCCTACTTGACCTTACTCCCTTGAGGGCCTAAAGGTATGATTCAGACCTTTCCGCCCTTTCTGGAACTTTGACTTTTTGGAGACAGGGCGGTTCTGCAGGGGGCAGTCTAGCCCCTAGCTCTCTTCTGGGCAGCCCAATCAGCTCTGGATTGCCCAAGCTGCCCTGAAAAGCCAGCCGAAAGAGCCGGAGGCTGTTTCCCTGTGGTTGGGAGTTCCTGCATTCTCTGCTCTAAATCCCAGCCTGCCCTCGGGGCTGCCCACGCCCCCTTCAGATCCTTTGCTCCGGAGAGAGACCTGTCCGAGCAGAGGCCTGGACTACATCTCCCGGCGTGCCTGGCAGTGTAGTGTCCTCTGTGCGCCATCTGTACTCGTTGCAGGCGACGATGCAGAGGGCTGTAAGTGTGGTGGCCCATCTGGGCTTTCGCTTGCAGGCACTGCCCCCGGCCTTGTGTCGTCCACTCAGTTGCGCACAGGTGGGATAGAGGGTGTTGATCTTGGAGGGTGGGGGAGGGAAGCGGCTGGGGGCTAGGGCCGTGGTGGCACTAAGCCCAGCCGCCCGCAGGACGTGCTCCGCAGGACACCGCTCTATGACTTCCATCTGGCCCACGGCGGGAAAATGGTGGCGTTTGCGGGTTGGAGTCTGCCAGTGCAGTACCGGGACAGTCACACTGACTCGCACCTGCACACACGCCAGCACTGCTCGCTCTTTGATGTGTCTCATATGCTGCAGGTGAGCCAGGGGAGCACGCTGGCCGCCTGATCAGGCCTTCCTCCCTGTTTACAGTGGTGCACTCCTTGGCTTTGTTTGCTGTGAACTGGATTCCAAGGACAGCCCTCCCAGAAGAGCTAGAGGTCATAGGGGTGTCATGGATAGGTCAGTGGCCCCAAGGAAATAAGCTCAGAGGGTCTCATCATCATCCTTCTAGTCTGCCCCCACTAAGTGGTGTGCCTTAATGTCCCAGGTTTTCCAGGGCTGACACCCACTCTCACGTATTGGGCTGGGTGTTGGTTTGAAAAGGGGTTATTTCCGGTGGCTCACGCCTGTAATCCCAGCACTTTGGGAGGCCGAGGAGGGCGGATCACAAGGTCAGGAGATCGAGACCATCCTGGCTAACACGGTGAAACCTCGTCTCTACTAAAAATACAAAAAATTAGCCGGGCGTGGTGGTGCGCGCCTGTAGTCCCAGCTACTCAGAGGCTGAGGCAGGAGAATGGCGTGAACCCAGGAGGTGGAGCTTGCAGTGAGCTGAGATCGTGCCACTGCACTCCAGCCTGGGCAACAGAGCGAGACTCTGTCTCAAAAAAAAAAAAAAAAAAAAAAAGGAAAAGGGGTTATTTCAGAAAGGTGCTAGGTCCTGTCCAGTCCCTGGCAGTCCCCCAGCACAGAGTGACTGGGGGAGGTCAGGAAATCAGAAGGTGGTCCTTTGCCACGTGTAGAACCAAAAGACTGGTTAGTCACTTTGGGTGGGCTGGACTGCACTGTGGATGGCAGGGAGGATGCATCCTAGATTAGTGGCCTTTTGGGTTGTAGCTGTTGCAATGGTCTGAGGCTTTCAATCTCTTCCCCAGACCAAGATATTTGGTAGTGACCGGGTGAAGCTGATGGAGAGTCTAGTGGTTGGAGATATTGCAGAGCTAAGACCAAACCAGGTGGGCCCTTTTATTTCTGCTCTATGAGTTTTCTTAGTCATGAGCCAGCAAATGGGCTTAGTCCCTACCTCAGGCTTAGGAGCACAGAGATGAGTCAAACAGCTTCTCAGGGCTTGCAGTCTTGGCGGACGGAATCCCTGAGTCATTTCCAGAGACCCAGACATTTGTAGAGAGGGGAATATCCCAGCCTTACTACATCAGGCTAGGAGGCCAGAAACCAAGGTTAATATGCTGCTCTCTGGCCATCCCTTCTGTTTAACCCCTCTCTATTCAAAGTGTGGTCCCTGGCCAGGTGCCGTGACTCAAACACCTGTAATCCCAGCACTTTGGGAGGCCAAGGTGGGTGGATCACCTGAGGTCAGGAGTTCGAGACCAGCCTGACCAACATGGCAAAACCTCATTTCTACTAAAAATACAAAAATTAGCTGGGTGTGGTGGCGCGCACCTGTAGTCCCAGCTACTCGGGAGGCTGAAGTTGCAGTGAGCTGAGATCACACCACTGCACTCTGGCCTGGGCAATGGAGCAAGACTCAGTCTAAAAACAAAACAAAACAAACACAACAAAGTGTGGTCTATAAACCAGCATCCTTCGAGCTTGTTAGGAATATACTCTCAGGCACTGCCCCAGACCTGCTGAATCAGAACCTTCATTTTAACAAGATCCCCAGGTGATCCCCATGTGACCCCCTCAACCTCAGGCTTTTTGTCCATCAGTGAGGAGGCTAAGGAAGTTTTTTGGGGGCATTGCTATGGAGTACTTAGAAGAGCCTGGGATCATCGAGATGACCTTTGAAGCTTTTGTCCTGTGGGTTGGCAAAACATGGGCTGAGTCGTCCCAGGTTTGGATAGGTGAAGCAGCAGGTCCTAGGTGTCATAGATGAAGCATCAGATGGGGCTCTCAGTACAGAGTGGGGAGGGGTGCAGAGGTCTCACCAGATCAGGGAAGCACCCCAAGGTAGGGAGGGGATGAAAACTTACTTGGTGCATGAGGACCAAGGGGCCCAGGACTTGGGCCCAGACTTGCACCTTCACACCCTGAGTCCTTCACATTAGGGTTCATAACCTTTTGGTAGCTAAGTGGGTTCAGGGGTGTGTCTGGCTCACCCTTGGCCTTGCCCTCCACTTTTGTCCTAGGGGACATTGTCGCTGTTTACCAACGAGGCTGGAGGCATCTTAGATGACTTGATTGTAACCAATACTTCTGAGGGGCACCTGTATGTGGTGTCCAACGCTGGCTGCTGGGAGAAAGATTTGGCCCTCATGCAGGTACACCCCTTCTGTGTTCTAGGCACCTTGTCTTCCTTGTTCATAGAGCAGCATCCTTGTTGTCCAGGATAGGGTTGGCGCAGACAAGGGACCCGGACAGTGGCTCTTTGAGTGAAGGAACAGCTGTAAGACTCAAGAGCAGGCCCACTCTGGAGCATGCCAGGGTTTGGTGGTGGGGGATTAGGCATGGGGAGGGGGGCTTGGCCCCTCTGGTGAGGGTGTGAGGTGGCAGACCGGGGGTTGGGTCATCTCTTATCACTTAGTAGCTATGTGACCTTGTAAGATGGGAACCAGCCTACTACTTTTTTTTTTTTCTCCCTCCTCCTCCTCTCCACTGTCTTACTACTGTCCAGCTCTGCAGTGTCCAGCCCATGGTAGGTGCTCAGTAAGTGGCCCCAGATGCTCTTGTGGTGTTTCTGTCTTTTAGGACAAGGTCAGGGAGCTTCAGAACCAGGGCAGAGATGTGGGCCTGGAGGTGTTGGATAATGCCCTGCTAGCTCTGCAAGGTGAGAGGGCTGGGCTGGGGTTGGAGCCAATCTTTGCCTTACTGGCTTCATTGACTGCTTAGCACAGAGACTATACCAAGAAGGAGGTGTGGAAGGTGTGATATTTGTGTGCCATAATTTTAAGTTTGGTATCTTGCCCTCCTCCTACCTACTACAAGGCTCCATGGGCTAGGGACAAGGGCATCTTCTCCCACTTGCAGAGTAAGACTTGCTCAGGGCTTGTTCTGGTCCCTGAATAAGGCTTTAGTCCAGCTTTGAGGGGTGCTGGGACCTGAATTCTTGGTCACTGGCTCCCTGGGCCCAGGCCCCACTGCAGCCCAGGTACTACAGGCCAGCGTGGCAGATGACCTGAAGAAACTGCCCTTCATGACTAGTGCTGTGATGGAGGTGTTTGGCGTGTCTGGCTGCCGCGTGACCCGCTGTGGCTACACAGGAGAAGACGGTGTGGAGGTGTGTCAAGAAGTGGTGTAAGGGGCAGTACAGGGCACAAGATGCACATGAGGGGTGGAAGGTGTGTAGCACAGGGAGCTTCCCATCTGCCCTCTGGTGTTTCATACAGATCTCGGTGCCGGCAGCGGGGGCAGTTCACCTGGCAACAGCTCTTCTGAAAAACCCAGAGGTGAAGCTGGCAGGGCTGGCAGCCAGGGACAGTCTGCGCCTGGAGGCAGGCCTCTGCCTATACGGGAATGACATTGATGAACACACTACACCTGTGGAGGGCAGCCTCAGCTGGACACTGGGTGAGCTGGGCCAGCACTCAAGGATGGGGTCCTGGAGGTTGGGGTGACCCTTAATAAGACTAACCAGCCCATGACTCCTCCAAAGGTTATGTAGCCTGGAGCAAGTGACTCAGCCTTCCTGAGCCTCCGTTTCCTGAAGGTGCCACTGTGGCTTTGCCTATTAGAAACTGAAGATGCTGCTGGGTGTGGTGGCTCACACCTGTAATCCCAGCACTTTGGGAGGCCGAGGCGGGTGGATCACGAGGACAGGAATTCAAGAACAGCCTGGCCAACATGGTGAAACCCCGTCTCTACTAAAAATATGAAAATTAGCCAGGCATGGCGGCGGATGCCTGTAATCCCAGCTACTTGGGAGACTGAGGCAGGTGAACTGCTTGAACCCGGGAGGCAGAGTTCGCAGTGAGCCGAGATCATGCCACTGCACTCTAGGCCTGGGCGACAGAGTGACTCCATCTCAAAAAAAAAAAAAAAAAAAGAAAAGAGAAACTGAAGATGTTCAGCAGGTGGGCAGCATGGCCTCTAGGGGGTAGGAGGTGGTTTTTTGGCTGACGGCAGTGAGGGGAGGAATAGAACCTGGAGTAGCCCAAGCAAAGGGGCCTTGATGCTAGATGGGTGTTACCTGAGGACTTCATAAAGGACCTCCTGTGGCCAGGGCTTCTATGGGCTGTGGCTTATGTCTCGTGTCATTCTCCAGGGAAGCGCCGCCGAGCTGCTATGGATTTCCCTGGAGCCAAGGTCATTCTTCCCCAGCTGAAGGGCAAGGTGCAGCGGAGGCGTGTGGGGTTGATGTGTGAGGGGGCCCCGATGCGGGCACACAGTCCCATCCTGAACATGGAGGGTACCAAGATTGGTAGGTGGACCAGGGAAGCTGGGAAGCCCTTGTCTCTTCCCCAGGAGGGTGGGGGCACTGCAAGGTGGTGCTAATGCATGGCTTATGCTTGCTTGACAGGTACTGTGACTAGTGGCTGCCCCTCGCCCTCTCTGAAGAAGAATGTGGCAATGGGTTATGTGCCCTGCGAGTACAGTCGTCCAGGGACAATGCTGCTGGTAGAGGTGCGGCGGAAGCAGCAGATGGCTGTGGTCAGCAAGATGCCCTTTGTGCCCACAAACTACTATACCCTCAAGTGAGGATGGCTCAGGGTGGGGCTGTCCCCTCCAGGAGTCTTGCCTTGGAGGGCATCCTACAAGGGGTTAGTCAAGAAGCTGAGGCAGAACTCACTGGGGGTGGGCAGCTAAGGTGGAGGCTGATTCCAATTGTCTGGTTGAGGGGTCATACCACCTATTCCCCCCACCTAACTCATGCCACTCCAGCTTCCTTCAGGACCCTGCTTCTGAGTGACAGACCAGCTCACACAATGTCTTGAGTCCATGATCCCACTGACCCACTCTTGCCTGCTGGAGGGTAATGAGAAACTTTGGTTCTGCCATCTCTCCCACTCTGCCAGGTGCTGGCTGTGGAGCAAAGGCTCACCTTTGTGGGGAGGATAAAACCTGCCCAACCTACCTCACAATGGTTTTTCACATTGCAAAGGGTAATAACATGGGCGGTGTGGACTTAGGCCACCCCCTCCAGTTTGCTTTCCATAAATGCAAATTGTCCCTACTGCAAGTCAGGAATGATTGCTGACTCATAGTAGGGCTGCTATGCCTGTGTGTAAACTTGGGAATGGCTGAGGGAACAGAGACTTACTCTTCCACATTCCCAAGTTGGTCTAGTGTGCTGCCCAGTAGCAAACCATGGCAGGCTCACCACCTATTCTGAGCTCCAGGGCTGTTGTAGGGCAGGGTGGGCTTCCTCCCAGACTTGCCTTACCCTGGGCTGACCTTTGCCCCTGGTATGCATTAATGGACTCCACTGAATCCTGAAAAAAAAAATTAAACTTCCTTCTTACTTGCCAGTCTCTAGCTTCATTGTTCTTTGTTCACAGGGTTCCTGAAATGCCAACCCAGTGCCTGCCTTCCTGGCCTCCAAGACAAGCTTGGAATAGGTTCTCCTTGAAAGGGGCCAGTCTATAAGAATGGAGATATTGCCCGTTGGGCACCCCATCCCTGCTCCTCCAGGGAGCTGGCATCACCTCTCCCCTCCCTGCAAGTTGTTGCATCTGGGTCCCAAGGGGCAACAGCTTCCAGGATGTTCCCTCTCTCACTGCTCCTCTGCATACATACCCTTGTTCTGTCTGAATAACCACAACAACCGATGCACTTCCGTGTTTAATAAGCCACATCCTCAGTTGAGCCTGGGGTGAAATGTGAGATCCTGACTCTGTGCAGTAGTATCAGTGGGTGGGCCTGGGGCTGTGAAGACCATCATCCTCAGTACAGCTGCAATTCCAGTGCCCCTCTACCACAAAGATGGCTTAGACAAAGGCAACCAGATGGAAGTGTGACATCCAACAGGGAGGAAGTAGGCAGGGGTCACTAAAGTGGCTGGTGGCCCAGCAGATGGAAGCAGAAGTATGGCCATGAGGGAAGGAGGCAGGTCCAGGGCTACAGTGCTTTCAGGTACTGGTGTTTCTATAGGGGCATTTGCCACCCACGCCTTTGGAAACTCCTCTGGCCTACTGTGACATGGCAGGGCTGCCTGGTTCTTGAAGGCAGAGAAGATGCTAGTGGGGAGGAGCTGAGGCTGTGACATGCGTTTGTACCAGGTCCAGACGGGTAATGATGAGGCTACAGGCTATGATGGGGCCACTGTGCACTAAATGCTTGGTACCATCCTATGAGGGGACAAGGTACAGACCCACATTCCCATAGGCACTTAAGCAGTGGAGGGTAGGAGGCTACCCCAGCGGTTCAGCTGTGCTCCTTCAGGTACTCAGCTTACCCCCAAGAAGGACTGAGAGGAATATGAGTAGGACAGTTGGCAGATGACAATTTCCTTTGCCTGGCTCACAGGAGAAATCTGATTGGGCCAGGGATGTGGGTGTTTGGTGCCTCAATCTGGATGGTGCCAGCAGGGACACCACCCTGCCTTATACCTGAATGGCCAGCTAAATAACCATAGAGCTTAAGGTCTGGCTCAGGTCAGGACTCCCTGGCTCCTTGCCAACAAAGCAAAACCAGGGATTCAGAAAACTCAGGGCTTAGGAGAAAACAGACCTGCCTTACATATCCCAGAGCTGGTCAACCTCAGGCTTCCTCTCAGGAAAAAAATTTTTTTTTTTTTTTTGAAATGGAGTCTCGCTCTGTCACCCAGGTTGGAGTACAACGGCGCAATCTTAGCTCACTGCAACCTCTGCCTCCCAGGTTCAAGCGAATCTCCTGCCTTAGCCCCCTGAGTAGCTGGGATTACAGGTGTGCGCCACTACACCCGGCTAATTTTTGTATTTTTAGTAGAGATGGGGTTTTCACCATGTTGGTCAGGCTGGTCTCGAACTCCTGACCTCGTGATCCGCCTGCCTCAGCCTCCCAAAGTGTTGGGATTACAGGCATGAGCCATCGCGTCTGGCCAACTCAGGAAATATTTTTATGGGATCATATCTCGGGGATGGGAAGAGGGACAGGAAAAGAAACCTAAGACAAAAGAACTGATGGCCTTCCCAACCCAGAGGCTTCCTGAGTTATCACCCCTGAGAGAGGAGGAACACAATCTCTCTCCTTAAGGCACCCAGATAAGGGTACAGGCAAACTCTTCCCTTGCCCAGTGCCTGGATGAGGGCGTAGGGCCAAGAGGCAGAAGAGGCCCAGCCCTGCAGGCACTGGGTACCCTGCTACCAACCCTGAACCCCCGGCAGTTGTCCCTGAGGTCTGGGGAGTAGCAGAACCCAGTGTAGAAGCCAGCAGACCCAGTGATGCCCTTGGAGACCCTCTGCTGCCTTCCCTTATTCTCTGTGGGTTTTGAGAGGTTCGTTTGCTGCCATTCCCCTGAAAGTGATGGAGAGAGAGAAGAGAGAGGGGTTATTCCATGGGCAGAACAGTTGATGAAATTGGCTCTCCCAAGCTCCTTCTTGAGGGTTGAGCTAGGCTCAGTAAGGTTACATAACAATCTAGACCTCTCTGCTGATCTCCCACAGCCCACCCTGGGCCCAGCACCTTCTCCCTGCAGACCCATTCTTCTTCCTGGTTCTCCATGTTAGTATGGCATTGCCATCCTTCTCTTTTTTTAATTATTCTTTTTATTTATTATTATTATTGTTATTATTTTTCTTTTTTTGAGAAGGGGTTTCACTCTTGTTGCCCAGGCTGGGGTGCAATGGCAAGATCTCAGCTCACTGCAGCCTCCACCTCCTGGGTTCAAGCAATTTTCCTGCCTCAGCCTCCCAAGTAGCTGGGATTACAGGCGCACGTCACCACACCCAGCTAATTTTTGTATTTTTAGTAGAGATGGGGTTTCGCCATGTTGGCCAGGCTGGTCTCAAACTCCTGGCTTCAGGCGATCTACCCTCCTCTGTCTCCCAAAGTTCTAGGAACAGGCGTGAGCCACTGTGCCCGGCCTATTATTTTTTTTGAGACAGAGTCTCACTCTGATGCCCAGGCTGGAGTGCAGTGGCGTGATCTGGGCTCACTGCAACCTCTGCCTCCTGGGTTCAAGTGACTCTCATGCCTCAGCCTCCCGAGTAGCTGGGATTACAGGTGTACACCACCATGCTAGCTACTTTTTTCTATTTTTAGTAAATATGGGGTTTTGCTATGTTGACCAGGCTGGTCTCAAACTCCTGACCTCAAGTGATCTGCCCATCTCAGCCTCCCAAAGTGCTGGGATTACAGGCATGAGCCAGGGGGCCTGTCCTCTTCTCCAAGACAGAAATCTGGGCAGTGGCAGCCTTTCTAACCTCTAGCCCTAACTCTTGGACCCCTTTATCTACTTGCCATGAAGTAGGCATTTATAAAGGCAAATTAGATCAGATCACAGCCTTGCTGAGTTAGTCTTTCAATGGCTCCCAGGGTCCAACAAGCTCTCACGTTCAAGCTCCAGCATCGCAGTCTTACCTATTCTAATATGTCACCCTTATCCTTCCCTCTTAGCCTTGCTCTATCCATTCCCTTTGCCAGGTACACTTTGTCACCCTGTGGCCTTTGATCTCGGCTTAAGTGTCTTTCTTGGGAGATGCCTTCCCTGACCACCCCTGCCCCATGCACCCCTAATAAATCCCTGGCTCCCCATGAACAGGGCCCGGGTTTTCTTTGTTCTCTGGGCCTCGTGTGGTCCCTATCATGTGATAGGGGCCCAGAGATTATCTGAATGAATGCCCTGATTAGTGAGTGCATGTTTTGCAGAAGAGGAGGCTGACCCTGATGAGGTCAATGTGCTAAGGACAGAGATTACTGCCTTTCCAACTGAGGGGATTGTGCAGAGTGGAATCCAACAAACTTGTCATTTCATCTCTCTGAAATTATGACAATACCACCACCTGTACTACAGGCTGCTGAACAACAGGCTGATGGACTGTCCAGACCTTGATGTCATCCTAACTCGAAGCCTGAACTCTACGTGCAGACTTGAAGCTTGCTGCAAAGGCTATTAAGCTGGTGGGCTTATAGCCTGAGAACTCCCTTCTCTGTCACCAGCACAGGAGTGTCCTTGGAATGCCAAGCATGGGGTTGCGGTATGGACAGATTTACTCACCACGAAGGGAAATGCGTGGAGCCATCAGGCGTGGATCCATTCTGACCACCCAGACCTGGAGGCAAAAACACATCCAGAGCTGCAGCAGGCTGGGGTGGGGATCTGAGCAGGCATCAGCCCAGGTCAGGTTAGAGACCACTGGTATTGTTTGGTGAAGTCTAGTAAGGGTCCTAAGGGACTAATCGTATTGCCAGGTGAGAGTTCTGAGGAACAGATACAATGTGATGGGTGGACTGGTGGGGATTCTGGCGTAAAATGGTATGGTGGCATGAGTCAGGGTACAACGTTAAGTTCTCTCATCCAAGTACCCGGCTTAGCTTCCGTGGTCAGATGCGTTCAGGGTGGTAAGGCCGTGAACCAATGTTAAGTTCTGATGAGCCTCTTGCAGGATAGTGGGGAACCCAATGATACAGTGGGGAGAGGGTGGGGACGGGGGCGGCCAGCCCACGGAGGTTCGTAGGAAGCCTCACCTGGACGGTGATACAACCCGGTCACTGTATTCCCGTAGAACCCCCACGCCAGCTGGATGCCCAGGAGACTTAACACCAACCACAGCAGCAACAGCTTGAAAAGGGTCACGCGCATGTCCTGCGCCTCCCACTCCCTCAAGAATTCGCTGCCCAGCGCGCCCAGCGCATCCAGTACCGTGGCCGGTAGAGCCTGCAAGGCCTGCCCAGACCAGGGCTCCGCCATGACTGGCCCTCGCCCCACCCGGGGTACTGTCACCGTAGTCCCTACCACGCACGCGTGTGATCTTCCGGGCCAGGCCCGTTAGTGCGCACGCGTAAATCTAGGCAGGGCGGGGCCTACTTCACTTGAATGAAGTGTTGGCAGTTTGGGGAGGAGTATTAAAAACGCGCACGCGCACCTAACCCCACCCTACTTGCTTAAGGGATGAGTGACTCCGGGAGTACAAAATAGCAACCAGGTCTTTTATAGCCCCGGAGTTCCCGTGATGCCCCATGCGGCTGCAATGATTGGTTAAGGGTTTTGCTTTTAGGGCGTGGCCGCGCTCCTGAGCAATAGTGGATGAGCTGTGAGTGCGCGCGCGTGCGCGGGACCGCGACCTGGGTCGGCTCGAGCCCGCTGGGCACTCGGGGGCGCGCACGTCGTTCTCCGCCCTCCTGCCGCCGCCCGCCCTCGCTCTCTCGCGCTCCCCTCCCGCCGCCCGCGGTCCTCCGTCGGTTCTCTCGTTAGTCCGCGGTCTGGTCTTCAGCTACCCGTCTTCGTCTCCGAGCTTGCGACTCGCGGACCGGCGTCCCCGGCGCGAAGAGGCTGGACTCGGATTCGTTGCCTGAGGTGAGCGGAAGGGTTCCCTCCAGGCGCCGCGGGGCCCCAGGCCCTCTCGCCCGCCCGGCAGTCTTCCGGCCGGCAGGCCGCCGCCCCGCAGCGGCCGCGCCCCACCGGCTGCTCGTGGCCGAGCCGCCCCTGGCCGAGCAGCCCCTGACCTTTGACCTGACTCCCGGCTCAGGCCCCGCGCCCCAAAGCGGCGACCCCGCCCGCGCAGTCCCCGGAAGCGCGCCCGGTAGTCTCCAGTGCCCCTTCCCCCGCCCGGCCGGGCCTGGTGGAGCCCAAGCTGCCCGCCTGCCTGCCCTCGGTCCCCGACGCTTCCTCTCCCGGCAGCGCCGGGCAGGGCGGGGGCTCTGGGCCGGGCCCCCGACCGCGCAGTGTGGCCGGCTGCTGAAAGCGCGCGTGGCTGTCGGAGTTGAAATGGGAAAGAAACTCTTTACAACTCCATTTTGCTTTTTACGTTTACCGAGAAACGTGAATCACTGTTTTATATTGATTAAAGTCCAGTTACACTTTGGGTAGGTTTTCTTTTAATGCAGATTTGTTGGAGACTGTGTAAGTAAGTAAAAGATTGTATTAAAAGCTTAGGGGTATGATCTACGGCCATACCACCCCGAACGCGCCCTAACTCGTCTGAAAGCTTTGGGGTCTGTATTGAGTGGAAAAGGGGTATTTTCCAGTTGAAAAAAAAAACAAAACACAAAACCGTAAATGAAAATTTAAGCGATGTTGCATGAAAACAGATGCAATATTGTTTAGTCTAAGTCGCTGTATTGATTAGGAATCACCTAAGCATCTGTACCTTAGTTACTGATTGGATCTACAGTTACAGGTCGTCTTCATTGAATAGCGCTATTTGCATCCAAGTCGATTTGTTCACAAACCTTGTTTAGTAGTTTAAGGTGGAAAATTGGAATCTTTTTTACCTCAAAGTTGGTTCCACTTGTGGTTTTTAATAGTTTTGATTTTAAATTTTTACCTCTGTTGACTTGTTTGGTTCTTTGTGTCTTGAAGAAAGTCTTTTAAAATAAACGTTTCTTGCAGGTGTGTAAGTAGATTATATTTCACTCTGCCTTCCTGAAGGAGAAAAACAGAAAAACTGAAAAACTTCCATAATTTAAAATGTGTATGATGAGAATTTTTCAACCACTTAGTATCACCCAGATGTGTAGTGTGTATGTACCATGATTGTCACCTTGAGATGTGGCTAGATAGGCGGAGATACTGTTTTGAGCGTTTGGCACAAGTGACATTGGACTGAAAAAAGACTAGTTTTTAA